AGGCTGAGCGCCGAAGAATTGATGCCTTTGAACTGTGGTGCTGGAGAAGACTCTTAAGAGAGTCTTATATGTAAGAATCTTTTCACAAGGCATATTAATCTATTGCTGCAAGATTTGGCTTGTAAATTAAATTTTATGCAGGATAGGATTTTTTAATAGAGTCTCTTTTGTCCAATGAATCTGACTCTGGTCCACAAAAACACATACTATATTTATTATTTCTTTAAACTTTATTTGACTTGTTTTATCTCTATATCTTAAAGCATTTTGCAAATTTCATTACAATGTAGTGACTTACTACACAAATTTCAGAGATAACAGCACTTGAGATCTGTTCTTGAGAAGAACTGTAGCCATTATCAAAATTATAGGGACTAACAGAGGATGACCAGTCTACAATATGATCACATGATGAGGGGACCCCATTACTGTATATTGCTAACTGAAAAAGATTTATAATACAAAGCTGGCTTGTTTTACTCATATCCCTTTACACACACAAACTGTGGTGTGAAAGCACAGACTCAGATGAGTGTATGGGTGCAACATAGGCCTAACATTCCCCACAGTCTCTCGGAAGTTTCCCCTTTTATTACTATGGAGCTGTTTCTTTCCTTGTTTCTCAGTTTAATCAAGATAACCAAGCAAATAGTAGTCTACACTCAATCTCTGCTTTTATTCCCCACAAATCCCTGCTCTGGCAATCTTAGGAAACGACTTAAGGATGTGAAAGTCCCACAAAAATACAGACATATGACTCCTATGAATTGCAAGGTTTAACAGAATGAGGCAAATAGATGTATTTCAAAATGATTCCTTTTTAGGTCCCAAGATTATATTGAAGTATGGCCATCTAGACATTCCTGAGACAGGATGTTAAAACAATTTTTTACTTACTCACAATGGACCTTTAAGGGTCATTCCATCAAGAGGAAATTTACAGTTAAATCCCTGAGAATAACCCCCTAAGAGGTTCCCTTGTGTTATAACTTTTTGCAGAGTGGGTTAATCCAGTTTTAAGGAACAAGAATGATAAGCCAGGTCACATGACTGGTGCCCTAAATTTTCAGCTAAAGCTTCTAATAGATGCTTACTTTTATTTCCTTCACTGCAGCAGATCATCAAGATTGAATAGCAAGTTTTAGTCTTCCCCCATAATAAGGTGCACTGCCCGCAAGATTGGGTTGTGCCCAACACAGAGCTTTGGAAAACAGAATGACACTGTAATCAATCAAAGGTTGGCAAGTCCAAGAGGAAGTTATTTCTCATTGAGCATGGGGAAACTGTAAATTTTCTGTAAATTTTTTTTAACAGAATAGGTTGAAATTTGTAGGCAGAGTAGCCCCTTCTGAAAGAATAGCACCTCCTAATGTGTAAGGCAGAGATACAGGGCATTTCAGTGTTGGTATTTTAAAATATGAAAGTGCCTACAGCTTTAGTGTTTGGAGCGTTCATGCAGAAAAAATGGTTAGGTGTGGTGGTGTAACTTACATAAACTCCATATTAACCAGTATCACCCAATACTGCATTACTTGCTTGCTTTTGCACTCTGCATTTTTGATTACTCTCTAATCACCGTCTCTTATACTGACATGGTTCTGCTGTCCTAGACTTATGCTATTTATCTCAACTTTATTACTGTAATGGACAGATATATAACCCTCCAAAAGGGAGGAAGAGTTGATGGATGCCAAGAAAAGACATATCCCCAGGAATGTTCTGGGCAGGCATCTCCAGATGCTAAATCAGATCACCCTCCTTCACTTATGAAAAAGTATTTAAGCCAAGAAAAGTCAGACTGGGATGGAAATTTCAATGTAGACCTAACTGGGAAGGTCTACTTCCAGCTGGCACAAAAAGGGGTCCACCCGCAGTCTCTTTCGGAGATCGTGTCTACAAAAGGACACTTTATACATTCTCTTTAATTTGTATTACCATATAAACTTCTGGACTCTTTGCTCTGAGTATGCTTATTGCCTTGAATCCTAAAATAACCTAGCAGTAACCAACTAACCATTGGGTGCCAGAACATTATTAGACAACTAAAGGAACTCCCCCAAATTTTGTGAAGAGCCACTGACAACCCATTTCCTATTATTTGAAGTTGACTTGCTAGCCTGTCAGATTGAATACAAAAGCTAGTGGTGATCCTGATTTTGGTGGCTTCTTATAAATCCTGCTTGCCTTCATACAGCCATAGACTCAGTCCAGTTTTACTGAGAATCATCCAGGTTTGTCTTATTGCATTGCAAACTTTGAAGTTGATTTTTAAAGCCACTCCACAGTTGGAAAGAAACTAGCCCTTTGTACACTCCAATGAGTGAAAAGTGATTTTCTTTGCATTCCTTCATCAGTCCCCTATGGTTTTCTAAATTACATATTTATAGCATAAGCCAGTCCAGAAAAGTCTACTTCATGCTTTTTTCATGAGGCCAACAGAGGCATTACTTGGCAAGTGAGAATACAGTATGCTATATTAATATAACTAGCTGAATTCTAAGCAGTATCAACACAGCTCAAGGATTTTTCTTCTTTAAGTGGCATTTGTTGGTTCCTGTATATAAAATACATCTCAACCTTGACATTAAGAGTAATCCTTGATTTAGACAGTGATTCTCAACTAATGGTATGCCAAATAATTCTAGGTAGGGCACAAATTCCCTCTAAATTGAGAAATATATGAGGGGTAAGAGCAAGTGGTCTCCAGTGCAAAGGAATTGAGCATTTTCATTTATTACGTTTATATATTGGCAGAACATTTACTGAAGTCCAGGACAGGAACAGCTACTGAAAGGTTTTGGCTTAGGAGCCAAAATAAAATAGTGCTTTGCACTGGTTAGCTCACTTTAATAATGTCTATCTATGTTTGTTTTGATTTGGGCTTAGAAAAGGATCATTCCTACAGCAGCAAAAATTGCTTCAGTCACAATTCTATTTTAATTACAGAAAGTATTGTGGACAGTATCAATGCATTTTTAAAAATTTTACTACAGTATAAGTGATAAGCCTAACAGAATGCCTATAAACTATGGCCCTTTTGTTTTTATCTTAGTAGGATCCAGATTTTTTGAAAAGAAGGAATGGCTGAGAAATACTAAATTGGAAGATATTTCAGAAAAACTTATATGAACGTATTTTAACTTGCTGTAGCAACACAACTTACATAAAGAATGTATTTTAAAAGATGTCTTTACTAAGGAAACACCCAGAAAGTTGTTGTCAGCCAGATAAATTCTTAAAACTAATCTGCATGTTATTGTTCTGCAAAATACTACAGCAAAGAAGATGCTGTTTGCTTCACTTGGGCATTTGAAAGATGCTCCATACAGCCAGGGCTGATTTGAATCAGATAAGGTGAGCATTCAAGAGACAACAAAACCAAGACGTTGTTGCCTTTGCTCTTTTAAGTGCCCCTCCCCCCTTTTTTATGCCAACCTGGAAGGATTCACATTGTCTAGCAGAACTAGGAAGCCAGCTCCCTACACCTCTCCTTTAGGGAATCCTGTAGTAGTGGTAGGTGATGACTCTAAGGAACAGATTTCTTTGTATAATACATCTAAACACCCAGCATTGATTTTCAAGAAGGGAAAATGAATACTTTAAGCAAATTGCAATCAATCCCAAAGTTATACCATAAACATGAAAGAATTATATAAAATAACCCTCCAGATGCTTAATTATGAATGCTTGGGAACACAATGTCATTAACCAACATTTAGAGCCATTAAGATCTTACTGATAGAACATAAGGATTATCAATCCTTACCAATTAATTTTGCAGTTCTCATATCAGGCATATGACTTCCTGTAAGAAAAGAGATTGCCTTTCAACTTCCTCTTACCACCCCAAAATTGTTTTCAAATTGGAATGTAGTCCCCAAGCTGATAACATGTCCTATTCCTGCATTAAGGTCACATGTTAATAAGAGCACGTGGGGGTTCACCATGTATGATATGGGCCATAAGGCAGCAATATTGCAAAAACAAAACAAAACAAAACAACTCAAGTGACCAACTTAAGGCTGGTAAAAAGAGTTCCCAAACTCATGGGCACCTGAACACAATGGATAATAAAAAAGACAGATCTAGATTTCCCTATTTGACTGATCTTGAAAATATTCAACAATGTCAATTTTGGTAGTATTCTGCAGGATCCACATTTCTTTATCCATTCTTCTCATTTTATATTTCTTTAGACAAATATGCAAACTTGCTTTTTCAGAATATTAAATTAGGATAAATAAGAAATGTAACACTTTAGCATTTATGTGGGAACAAAAGGAATGTTTTTAATGTCAGTCAGCGAAAAGAGCTCTGAATATTCCATGCCTGAAATTAGAGGTTCTTTAATCTTAAAAAGCTAAGCTTTCATGTTTCTAGATTTAGCAGCAACTCTTATGTATCTCCTCCACTTATAATACATCTCTCCTATTTCTGCCCACCAGCACTTTTTATTTCAGAAAGAGTTGAATTAAATGTTTTATGTAGATGCCCAATGTTCTTGCTTATATAAAGCATGCAATTTGTTCCAAGTACCCTGATGGAATTTTCCAAAAGAACCGGTTCTTCAAACTTCCTGAAATGGCTTGCTAAAGCATCACACTTGTGTTTCTTCTGTTGTTCAGACAGTTCCCTTATGTAATCAATTAGGGTAACAATTCTTGGAATGCAATTACGGCAATTTTGTTTTCACCAGAAAAGATTCTAGAGAAAAAGCAGGAGGTCATTCAGAGTACTTTATTCCCCACCTAGTGGTAGCAAGATATATTGCTATGTAACATTTGAGGAGCTGATGCCACATTAGAGACTACTGGAAGATATAAAATCCAAATTTCACATCTGGTACTTACTTAGTCAAAACTTAGACAGAAACATTTTGGTATCCCTTTAATAAGTTAAAAAAGTAATGGTTCTACAATACTTTTGAAAGGCATTCAAAACTCATATCCTATAAAACCTCAAAAATCAGTCTAATTAAGCTACTCTGTATGACAATGGAAAATGTTTTATTATTATGGTCAAAAACCAACAATTTGCATGCTGCTGGTTAGAATTTGCCTACAATGTATTTATTGCTTTGGTGCCTGATAGAGAGGAGATACAGTAATAGCCTAGATGACCAGGAACATTTGTAGAAAAGGTGAAAATAACTTACTCTGCAGGTCTCTGTAATACTCACAATACAGGCAGGCGTGGCTAGTGTTCTGAGTGCATCAGACCTGCATGGGTCTGTTTATCTCAAAGAGAATCCTATTAAACCAGACCTCCAATAAGACAGATGGCATACATCAAATTACGCCCAAGAGAAGGCTCTGTGTTACCCATGCAATTCCAAGTTAGCGAAATAATTAGCTAGCTCCACATCACATTTAAATAATTTTGAATCCTAGATCCGTAACTCGTTTAAGAGATAAAACTCTGTGCTTTATTGAAATAAGGTTTCCGATGGAAGACCATATGACAAAAGTGCATACAATGAGGCTTTCTTCCAAACTGAGTAAACTGCCAAGGACTGTTAAGGGGTCAAAAGCCCTCTGGGCAAAAGTTTAGCTTAAACCGGAAAGTGAAAATTACTAGCCAACTTAAATCTCCACCCTAGGGAGTCTCGACTCTAGTCATAAATTTGTATTTATATCTGGGCATCTGAATCTGAACTGATTCCAGCAAAGTGCAGCTAGAATATGGGTGAACTGAATTCCGAAGAGGAACTGCACCAAACATTTGGTTGCAAATAATTTGATGGGGGAGGGGGGAGTTTTTGAGAGGAAGAACCCTAGGATTGCTGCACCATTCCTTTGAGATGTCAGTACAGCATGATTAACCTGTGCCTTCCCTCGTTCTAGACAGAAAAACTATGCGCAGGTAATTACCCTGAATTTGTTGGTTGCTTACTCTAGATCTCTTAGCAAATAGCATAATCTGTTTTCCAGTAATTGACCTGGAAGCGCTTATCACAGAAATATTGTGCAAGGGCTTTCAAGGCTCTATGATAAATTTGAAAATAGGATAAAGCTATCACATCTGTAGAATATAGCAGAATTGGCAGCTACTTGTTAGGTAGCTTGGAAAAAATAATCGAGATGCTTGACTAGGAATTTATTCAAAAAACTAAAAAGTGCCTCCTTATTTAAGCCTTGCTTAACTTCTTGGACTGCATTTTATATGCAGACTTGTATTTTCATGTAACTTATGGATGAGCAGGATCAAACATCTATCCATGGTTATATCCACGAGCTTTTCCCATACGGATTCCCTTGAAATGGAATCAAAATCACACTTGAAATTAACAATGTTGCATAGAATAACCTGAAAGGATGGGGAATAAAAGTATTTTGTGTGTCACAAAAACACTGGTTAGTCTTAATAGTATTTTTTATGCTGAATTCAAATATGTTTCAGAATTTTTGTATCAGGCAAGGTTTTTGAATGATTCATAACTTACTTTTGATAATAGCCTATATTTACAATTTAAAGCACAAAAGTGTTAATCAAAAAAGGAATGTTTAATTATCTGATGGATTTCACCTCAGGAACATTTCTCCCAAAGGTCCAGTAGTGGTCAGCCAGCATACTGAGGCTCTACTTTTCTTGGTTTTTTCCATGTTTCAAATATCCCAGGGAAATCATTCACCATGTTCATCACTGACTGTGCTGAGGTTGTCAGGGAAAAAGTCCAGGTAAGAGTCCTGAACTTTCAATGGCATGTTACATCCCATAGCCTAGTATTTTGTGAGTTTCCTGCTTTATTATTTCCCAAAAGGTTTGAGAACAGGTGAGGTATGTTTTGGCCATTCTTTTTGAGTGTAATAGTTTTTCCTCTTCCTACTCTTCCACTCACACAAAAAACAATGGTACTTTGTGTATCCAAACTGCAGGCCAAGCAGAAGTGCAATGACCTTCAGATCTCCACAGACACTCCATTTATATTTTTCACACTGAATCTTTTCCAAAAGTAGTTTCATGTTCTTATGACTCTTTCATGTCAGCAGCAGGGGCTAACATACAGACAGTAAGGTATTTCTATTATGAAAGAGACCTTTCAAGGAACCAAAGAATAAGCATCACTCATTTACATTGTGTTCATGGCCAACAATCTCCATATAACTGAACAAACATCTTTACAAAACACTAGTCCTTCTTCTTGGGAGAAGAAATTGTTACATTTATCATGGCAGATAGAAAAAAACAAACTTTAGTATCATGGTGGTGAAGATCCCAACCCTTTCATTTTGATCTTAAAGTTCATCCTGCTTCTTAGACAGCTTCAAATCATGAATGAGATCATTCAGATCCCCTTGTGACAACAAATGTGGCTCATTTGAAAAGCAGATAACCTGAAAGGCTGGGTCAGAATTAATGTTTTCCTTTTCTGCTCTACATATACACCATCATTATTAGATTCACTGTCATTAAATGTCACATTTTCTAGGGGCTTTGGTACAGGCAACTTCTTACTATGTGGGACTGGCATCACTGCAGATGGTAAATCAGGGTATTTCACCATGTGCTTACTTTAGAGGTGATCTCTGTTGTGCTTGTTAGGCAGAAATAACATGAATGGGATTTTTTTTAATCCCTCCAAAGTAAACAAATCTGATTATTACAAATATACTACCATAGTTAAAGTACAGTACAGTACTGTCATTAATTGAATGGAATAATAGGGTCACAAGAAAACTAAGCCCGATAGAAAAATAAATGTGACTTCATTTTTAAATTCAGCATGAAAAAGTCTGCTTAGAACACTTATTATAGTCTATATGACAAAATTGTTGACCATTTGTGTATCTCTCCACCAGATGTGTACATCAGCCTTTGATCTACGGAGAAAAATTTAGTTCTTGCTGCAGAATTTGAGCACTGCTCTTCGATAAATGGTTACCTGGAAAAAGTAAGAGATATGATCAGTAAAAGCAACTCAGAAACTTCACACATATAATCCGGAGTCAATCTTTCCTTAATCTTCTACTGTCATACCAATAAAATGCTTAAAACCCAAGTTAAACACACACCCTGTCCCTCTCTGGGCTTGACTGGGAGAGTATAAGTCTGGACCAAAGTCAGACATAAAACAAAACTGAACCAACCTCCTTCAAGGATCAAGTGTTCTACTAAAACGCAACTATTGCATCAACTATACCAGATGCAGAATTATTGAGCCTAGCAAGGGCAACTGGAATGAAGCAAAGTGAGAGTATGGATGCTTAAACCTAGATGAAAATCTCTAATCTCACTAGACATCTGATCTTACTGCATACAAGTGGGCACTGGGGCATTGCTTGAGAATTGTTGCCATAAGCAGATGGCAGTATGTTCACCTTGCAAATTAAACTCTTGCAGTTCTGATTATTAAACATAACATTCATTGTGGGGGATTTCTATAAATGTTTAATATTTTTAATATTCAAAATGCTTGGTTAATAAACATTCCACAATAACCCACCTCCATCCTAAAAGTATAGTGATGATTTCTTCTTCTTTTACAGATTTAAAAAACCTGCTAAACAGAGTGAAATATCTGACTAAACTTAAGAACTGAATCTGGAATTTAGTCTCAGATTTTTATTATATATCTGTTCCAAGGTGCTCGGGAGAAAATGTGTGCTTCTCCGTCAGAATCCTTGCAAGATTTAATAGTAGATT